AAAAAAAAAAAAAAAGAAAACAGTCTACAAATTTGAAGTATCGTAAAAGTGATAGTGATACCTGTAAATCTGTTTTCTTTTTTTCAAACAATGGTTCAGTGATCAGAGGTGCTCAGATTTCTGCTAAGTCTGCAACAACAGGTAAAGATTTGTCTAAAAGCTGCTTAGTTTTAATGCATATAACAAAAAGGTTGAAAAAATTGTTACGTGTTACGTGTTTAAAGAACAAAAAAAGAAACTTATTTTTATCTATAATTAATTTAGAAAAAGAAAATTTTTATCATTTTTTTTTTTCTTTGCAACTTAAAATCTGTACTGTTTTTTTTCTGTAAACAGTTTATCATTGCAGTTTTAAAACTGTATACAACATTAATATTTCTCTTTTTTTACTTTTTTTGTAGGTTTTGAGTACAACTTTTTTTTTTTTTGTTATTTTATGCTTTAAAAAAAAACTGCTCTAAACATTTATATGCAACAACAACAAAAGCAAAAAAAAATGTGTATTTTTGAGTAATAAATAGTGTAAAAATTGTTTCTTTTTCCATTTCTTTTTTCTACAGCTAAGAAATTGTTCAAAGATTAAATCTGAAACAAAACAAAAATCTGATTGATAAGAAACAAGTGTAAAGCATTAATGTTAAATGTTGATGCAAACAGTAACTGATCTGTGTTTCTTTCTGTAGAATTAAAAATAAACTTGAAACGATGAAATCAAAATGGCGCTGCTGATAAATACCTTTGAAGAAGGAGCTCACTTTTCATATTGTTTTTAGAATAAGATAATTGAATATGTTTGAACAATTATTGTTTTCGTATGGTTGAAATAAGTGTTTGAAACAGCAATTTTTATTACTGTTGTGGGTAATTTGAATAAAATTTTTCCAGATATCCTTTTATGCATTTGTTGACCATTTGCATTGTTGATGAGATTCTCAGAAATTACTACAAAACAATACAAAGTTATTCAGAAAATGGTGACAATAATAACTACGATAAAAAAAAAAGAAAAGAAGAGAGACTTTTGTCTTTGTTGAACGTTGTGACCAAATATTAGGAATAATTTGATGCTAGTCAATTTATAAGGTGTATTTCCAAAAAATTCTTTGTTCCATTATACAGTTTCATGCTCAATAGGTGACAAACTAAATGAATGGTAGCCTGCTGTGCGTTTCTTGCCAATATTTATATTTCAATGATTTTTCTTTACCATATTTCACATGCTGACTTTCATCTGTCATGCAAATCAACAAAATATCAATATTCCACAGATAGTTTTGC